TCGAGATATGGAGAGCACCTTTCGTAAAGTGGAAACATTTGCTCCGAGGAGCACATTAAATACACCCATTACATTCACAATTAACTAAAAAACCTTAAAAAACGACAAAATCCTTCAGGACTGCTATGAACATTTTCGGCTTAACGTGTCTCCAATGCTAGAGTTCCCCCCCCCCCCCCCCCCGCTACTCCCGTCCTGCTGCGAAACGAATAGCCGCTTTCACATCGCTAGGCCCATACCGTATGCACAGCCGCCGTTTGTAATCCTATACAGAGTAAATAACACACAACCCGCACGTTCACTACCCTGCATATGGGCTTATTCACACCCGCATTTTGAAGTTGCTTGGCTACGTGACCCAGCTGGAGGTTCTAAGTTCTATGGAGAAACCGAAATCGTTATCGAAGTTTTAGAATGATATACATATCGAAGCTTCATCGCCATCAACCACAGGGTATGCGAGCCCGTTGTAATATTTTTGAATAGAGCACACGTTTAAGGTGCGGCCAACCAAATAACGGTGCTAAGTGAGTTGTGGTGCGGTCGATGTCACTAAGCCTGAGCCTAAAAACAAATGGGTAGGCTGTGAACAGGATGATCTTTGATACCGCAGAATCCAACTTTTGGCACATTTGAGCCTCTTTCTAGGCTCAGGCTTAATGCCATCGCGCTGCGCTGCCGTATGATCCCCGCAACTCACTTAGCACCCATATAATTGCTAGATTCCCTGTTCTGTTTGGAAAAAGTTCGACGACCCTTTGCAACTAATGCAGCGTATGACTATGAGGAGGGAGCGTATATGAGCAACACGCGACACCGTCAGAAAAATAAAATGGAAATGCATACTGAATGAATCTGACAAGACCTCGACACCGCTCAACTAAAAACAGAACCGAAACACGGTATCTGCGTGTACTTAGCTCTAAAGGATATATCTGATAATAAACAACGAACATTTCACAACACATTGTTATCGATTCAAAGCTCAAGAATGATGTGATGGGAGAGCGCGCAAGCTCAATGCGTTACACAGCTGGATGCATGCACACAACGTGAAAGAAGAGAAGGAGATGAGGTAAACGGCAACAACCTTGATCGTTTTGTTCTGCAGACGGAGTCCGTTGAAGGAGGAGACGGCCTTGAGGGCGTCGTCTTCGCGACAATAGTTAACAAAACCATAACCAAGACTCTGGCCTGCAACCAGAAACACAGTGAACGTAGACACTAATACACGCCAATGCCCACCGCTCACGAACCGAACTCAAAACTGAAACAGAAAGCAAATGAAGGCAAGTCTCTCTTCGGAATAATCCGTAGGTGTAGAGGTTTGTTGGTTGGTGTGTGTGGTACAATTC